GTCTGGGGCAGCACCCAGACATGGGGCTGGGCATTCAAGGTCAAAGACATGCAGCCGCAGCCAGAGGCAGCCAGGACAGGACAATATTTATCCATCTCTAGATCAGCCCCCAAGCCAGATCTGTGGCGTTCAAGGTCACTGATTGGGTTTCACATATGGGGATCTGGTTCATGCACGTGGAGAGGATGTGAACATACAGGGCCTTGTATACCCACTGCGCACGTGCATGTACACACACACACACACACACACACACACACACACAGAATGGCATTATGCTTAAGGACATAATTAGAGACATTCAAGGTCACAGGACAGGACCCTCTCCACTGGTCAATGGGGTTGTGTCCCCTCAAGGTTGAAGCCATGCACACCCCCACCCACACAGGGGCAGGATTTGCACAGCCAAACCAAATGCCCACACTCTGCCCATCACAGTCAGGAACTGGGCCAAAGGCCCCCGTGAGACCAGGAATGCGGATGTGGTAGACAAGGGGCTTAACAAAGGAAGGGTGAGGTCGTCCTCCGAAGGGCAGAGGGTATGGACTGAACAGCTGGGCACCGAGGCTGCACCTGACCAGTCCAAGCCAGAGGAAGGTGGAGGCCCCAGCTGGGCGCAGCAGGCAGGCGGGAGACAGGTAGGTGAGTGCACGGAGACAGCCAGAGGGGAGGCTGGAGGGTGGGGGTCTGAGGGGCCCTCAGGAGTGAGGGTCATTTGTGGCAGAACGTTAATGAAAGTCTACCCCCCCTCAATTTCTCCAGAGGAGAGGCATCAGGTTACAATTAATTTCTTGGTGTGTGGCAGCTGAGTTCAGTCTGGAGTTTGCCTGCCACCCAGGGTGACCTTGATGTGGCCATCCCTCTCTGAGCCACAGCCCCTTCCCTTGTCAAATGAGGTCGGTGGTGCCCACCACACATAGACGTTGTATGGAAGCTCGAAGCACCATGCCTGGCTTGCACACCTGAAGGGGCACTACCTGGGCCAGGCTTGTGCTCCTCTCTCACACACAACCACGTTTAATGCCCTCAAAGACCCTGTGAGAGACAGGGAGTGGCAGGCGTGGGACTCAAGCTGGAGTCTGGCTGTGCTCTTGGCCTCTCAGCGCTTGTCTATTGCTTACTGTGTATATTACCTCTGTTATGCTATTGGGACCTCACCGTTATTGTCTCAAGCGGTGCTGTCTGATAGAGAAGACACTCGAAGCCCAGAGAGGTGAAGCAGTTCCCTCAAGGACACACAGCAAGGAAGCCGCTGCCCTAGGACTCAGCTCAGGTTTGTGTAACCCCAGGACCGTGTTCCTTGTCATGGGCAGTGAGAGGCCCCAGGCAGCCTAGCGACTCCAAAGCAGCAGCACCAGCCCCTGACGGTAAGAGCTTAGGGACATTGGTGCAGGTGGAGGTGGAGGGTGAAGGAAGGATCTTTAGTGGTCTCTGGGTGAGGTAGGGGCTGGCAGATCACTGGGCCCAGACATGCATGGGAAGGGGGCACCTGCTCCCACAGACCTGGCCCCCTCCTGGGGCCACCTCACCTGAGGATGCCAGCAGGAAGGAGAGAGTGAGGAGAAGCCACATTGTGGAGGAGGGACCAGGGTTCCGCTGCAGTCTGGGGAGGGAGGGAGAGAATCCAGGTGAGGCAGGAGCCTTCTGCCTCCACCAGGATCCCTCCAGACACAGACTTATCCCACCCACTGTTAATAAATTTCTTCTGACCACCGGTAACCCCTTCCCCCAACCCCACTCTGCGTTTCCTTCTTGGTCCCCCATCTCTGGAAGGTTTATTTTTCCTTAGCCACTGGGACAGACCCCATCCCCCCTCCTCCACCTGTCAGCCCCCAGCACCATGCTACCAGCCCCTGGATCTCTCTCCATCACCAAGGACCCCTATTCCAACCTCTTTTTTTTTTTTTTTTGAGACGGAGTCTCACTCTGTCGCCCAGGCTGGAGTGCAGTGGCATGATGTAGGCTCATTGCAAGCTCCGCCTCCCAGGTTCATGCCATTCTCTTGCCTCGGCCTCCCGAGTAGCCGGGACTACAGGTGTCTAACACCGCGTCCGGCTGATTTTTTGTATTTATTTATTTATTTATTTATTTATTTATTTATTTAGTAGAGACGGGGTTTCACCATGTTAGCCAGGATGGTCTCAATCTCCCGACCTCGTGATCCACCCACCTCGGCCTCCCAAAGTGCTGGGATTACAGGCGTGAGCCACCATGCCTGGCCTATTCCAACCTTTTATCTGGCCTTTTGGGTCCCCCTCCAGTCCAGTCCCCTCCACCAGCCTGCCCTCCACCCATGACCCCAAAGGATCTTTCCACATCTGGAGCTGACTGTGCCCCTCCCCTCCCCTGCTCACCACCCTCCGTGGACCCTTAGCACCACCAGGATAAAGTCCAGCCCTTCAGCCTCGATTTCTTTTTTTTTTTCTCTCTCTTTTTCTTCTTCTTCTTCTTTTTTTTCCTTTTCTTTTTTTTCTTTTTTTTTCCTGAGATGGAGTCAGGCTGTGTCGCCCAGGTTAGAGTGGAGTGGCATGATCTCTGCTCACTGCAACCTCTGTTTCCTGGGTTCAAGCAATTCTCCTGCCTCAGCCTCCCAAGTAGCCGGGATTACAGGCATGTGCCACCACGCCCGGCTAATTTTTGCAATTTTAGTGGAGATGAAGTTTCATCATGTTGGCCAGGCTGGTCTTGAACTCCTGACCTCAAGTGATCTACCCGCCTCAGCCTCCCAAAGTGCTGGGATTACAGGCGTGGGTTGCCTGGCCCCAGCCTCACTTTCAAGGACAAAAGTGGCTTCTTCCCTTCCAGCCCCTCTGCCTGGGTCTCCCATGACCTTGTCCTAGACGCAGCCAGTGCTGCCATTTTTCCTCCTGCCATTTCATGCTCAGGCTGTTCCTCCCACCACATATCCAACGCCATTCCCTTCCAGCCCTGCTTCCCCCTTGAGGCCTTTTCTGACCTCCCCTGAACCTCAGTGGTGTCTGCCTCCCCCTCCCGAGGAGCAGCTGGTCTGACTCCACTCTGGGTCTCCAGTACTGCAGGGCCCTGCCCACGAGAGACCTCAGGAAGCTTTGGGAGTGAATTAAAGTCCTTCTTCCCCATCTCTTCCAAATTCATCTTTGTCCTCTGAGACTCTGCCCCCACCTCTTCTGGGAGGCCCCAACACCTAACAGATGTCTCCCCTGAATCCCACAGCACCCATTCTGCCTCCGTTATAGCACAGATGGCCCGTACTTGCTGAGGTCTGGCCTGTTCTTTTCCCCATCTGGGGGCCTTGAAGATGGGGCTCAGGTCAGGTTCTTTCTGTGTCCTCAGCACTGCCCCGCCTGGGGCCTGGTACACAGGAGGCCTCCGGGAGGTTGTGCTGAACTGACTTGAACCCGTGATCACTCCTGATCATGTTCTTGGCTCTGGTACAAGCCCTTGAGGGACGTCCTCCTGATCCACTCCATCCCCCTCCCTCCCCACCACTGCAGCTCCTTCTGGCCACTCCAGGACATTTTCTTGGTTCAGGTTCAATTTGGGGCATTGGTAAAGGACACATGGACCTACCCATGCCCTTGACACTCACTTCTCCCAGGGTGGTTGACGTTTCCCCTTGAGACCGGGGCACGGTGAATCTCCCCTTTGCCCCTCCCTCCAGTCTTGTCTCAAAGCTCTCACCTCCTCCAGGTCCTCCAGCAGCATCTAGGGTAGCTTGGGTGCCAGAAGAAAGGGAGCAGGCACCAGGATGCCTGAATTTATAAGCTCCCAGTCCCAGCTGGGTCTGGGGGTGTGGTGGTGTAGGGTGGGGTGGGAGGAGGCTGAGAGTCAGGTTTACAGGCAGAGACGCCTTGGTGGCTGGTGGGGTGGGAGACTTGGCCTAATGAGCATTTATTAGGTTGAAGCTGTTGTCTGAGTCCACAAGGAGGAATTCTCCACCAGGGGCAGTTCCTCAAGGGGGAGGGGACAGGAGGACAAAAACAGGAGGAGATCAAAAGACAGAGTCTGGAATTTGGGGTCTGGAGTGTGGAAACTGGATCCCAGAGTCACCGTTCTGGGGCTTGGGGCAGAGTTCTGGATCCCGGGTTCTGGATCCAGATCTTCGGTTCTGGATCTGGGTCTCGGATTCCAGATTTGGGGATCTTGAGTTGGAGATTAATGACCTGCAGTCTGGAGTGTGGATTTCAAAGTCTGAGTTCTTGGGCTTGGGGTCTGGAATCTGGATCCTGGAGTCGGGCCTTTGAGTGACAGATCTTGAACCTAGATTCTGGATCCTGGGGCATTCGAATCTAGAGCCCAGAGTAGGAGCCTGGAATCTGGTGTTTGGAATCTGGCACTCGAGGCTGGAAAGCTTGGCACCTGCTATGAGAAGCCTGGGGCCTAGACTACAAATGGTAGATTTGGGATTTTGAATTGTGGGGTCTGGATTTTTTTTTTTTTTTGAGATGGAGTTTCGCTCTTGTCACCCAGGCTGGAGTGCAGTAGCGTGATCTCAGATCACTGCAACGTCCGCTTCCTGGGTTCAATCGATTCTTTTGCCTCAGCCTCCCGAGTAGCTGGGATTACAGGCGCCCGCCATCACACCCAGCTAATTTTTGTATTTTTAGTAGAGAGAGGGTTTCACGCCAGGCTGGTGTTGAACTCATCTCAAGTGATATGCCATCCTTGGCCTCCCAAAGTGCTGGGATTACAGGCATGAGCCACCGTGCCTGCTTTGGGGTCTGGATTCTACAGGGTGGATCTAGGCTCTGAGCTTTCAGGGGTAGACTTTGGAGCATAAAGTCTGGAGTTTCAAATCTGTGTTTTACATTTAAAAGCTGGACTGTGGCTGCCCAGTGACTCATGCCTTTGAGAGGCCAAGGTAGGAGGATTACTGGAACTGAAGGGTTTGAGACCAGCCTGAGCAACATAGCAAGACCTCATCTCTACTAAAAATCAAAATACATACATATATACATACATACATACATACACACATCAAATTTAAAAAGGCTGGATTGAGAGACAGGGACCTCGTTTTCACAATTCTGAGACTGTTAGAATCTTGACTCTAGAGTCTGAATTTAGAGTCTGGGAAACTAGGGTCTCTATTCTGGTCCTGTAGTCTTATTTCTGGGTTCTAGAGCTTGAAATCTGGATTCTGCATTCCAGAGGTTGGAGATCGTCACTGAGATGACCCAAGGCTTTGGGTATTTGAGGCTGGCTTCCAACGTCTCAGAACCCCAGAGGGCCCCAAGCAATTGTCTAGAGTCTATTTTGGCTTAATTAATGAGAAGGTCCTGAGACAGGAGGGACTGACCTCAGGTCACCAGTGAAGGATGGGACCTGTTGTAAGCGTGGTCTCTCCCCATGTGTGGAAAGCCATCATCTTTATGGGAAGGAGTCATCACATGGGATTCAGCCATTCTAGAATTATAGGCCCCTGGAATTTCTAGAATATCAGACTTTCAGATTCTAAAATCACAGGCCCTAAGACATTCTGGCAGTCTAGGACACTCTGGAACGTAAGATTTTAGAATAGCCTAAAACCACAGAGCTCTAAACACTCTTGAACCTTAGAACACTGGGCGCTCTGGAGTCCCCAGAAACCTCATGCATTCTAGAACGTCGGGTCTCCAGACATTCTACAAGCCCAGACCGGCAGACATAATAGATTCCCAGGTTGGAAGCTCTTCTAGAACTCCTATGTCCCTTTGCCTCCCTCCCCACAAATTCATGCTCAAAGTCTGCAGCCTCACCCTGGGCCACCGCTTCAGCTGAGCAGCCCTGTTTATTGAATGCGACTGCAGGCCACTCCCCCGTGCCAAGTGCTCGCTTTGTAGGATCTCACTCAGGCTCCGGGCACCCCTGTGAGGTGGTTGTATTAGTAACCTTACGGCTTCCTGCTGAATATGGAGGAAACTGAGGCCCAGACAGGGGGCAGCACAAGCAAGGCTTCTGCAGAAGCGAGAGGCCACGCGGGAGAGGAATCAGTGTTCCGACTGCGGAACGCCGGGTGGGCCAGTTCGCCGCCCCCCCTGCAGCCGCCTCCCTCTGTTGGGGGGCAGTGGTGACAAGGGGAAGGAGCCGAGCCCCTGGGATTTCCTCGGTGCCAGGTCTGTGTTAGCGCTTTCCGTCACGATCTCACGTGTTTCTCCTCCTAACCAGCTTAGGCAGGTACTGATGAAGTACCCCTGATACAGACGGGGACACTGAGGGCACTCCCGCTGCGGGGAACCCAGGCGCGAACCCAGTCTGCGCACAGCTCCCTGAAAGGCGTGCAGCCAGCGGCTCCCGCAGCCCCGCCCCCACGCAGTGACGTCAGCGCCCCGCCCCCACCCGCTGTGGCCGGCTCAGGCCCGCGCGATCGATGTCCTCCTGGACCTGTCCCCGGACGTCCTTCACCTCCACCGCGGCCTGGGTCCCGCCCACCACGGCCTGAGTCCCGCCTTTGCCCCACTCCTCCTCCTCCTGAGAACATTCTCTAGGAGTCTTTCATCAACTCCCGTGGTTCATCCACCAACCACGCAGGTCTCCTCCATCTGACCCTGAACTCCGGCTTGGGCAGCCACCTGCTCCTGTGCGCCCCCCTGCACCAATGTTGCTAGGCCCCTCTCACTCACCGAGTCCCAACTCATTGCTCTATTTCCCCAAACCCTCCTTCCCTGTTCTTCCATGTTCTCCATCTCAGGGGCAGCGTCACCAACCACCCAGTTATTCGGCCAGACGCCCTTGGCACGTACCTTGCCCCATCTCTCCCCTTATCCCCTACAGCCCATCAGTCCCCAGCCTTGTGCCTTCGGCCCCTGCCTCTCTCTGCCCCGTCCCCTCCTCTCTGTCCCCTTGGCCTGGCTCCAGCCCAGACGTCCTTCTCTCTCTCTGGACCCTCGCCCCTCCTGTCCTGGAGGACAGCCTCCTGTCGGTCACCACGTGGCCCCAGAGGGTCTCTCTGCACTTGGAGGTCACCCCGCCCCTCCCCTGCTCACAGTCTTCCCTTGCAGCTCCCCGTCACCCCTGGGCAAGGTCCCGGCTTCTCAGCCTGCAGTTTGAAGCCCTTTGAGATTCCCCCGCTGGAACCAGCCTCCCCTCAGACCCTCTTCTCAGGGGGACTGCAGACTGCCCACCTCGGGAGCGGGACTGGACTCGTGGTGCCTGAAGGGGCTCCCCATGAGGTGCTAGCCCTCCTCTAACTTAGTCTCACCATAGCCTCCGTTCTTTCTGGGACCGGACAAGCTGCTGTTTCAGGGCGCTGGGTCTGGATCCAGACAGCATGGGCGCAGATCTCTGTTCTACTACTTACTATTTTGGGAGACCCTGGTAAGTGTCTTTTCTTCTCTGTGTCTCAGTTTCTTATCCTTAAAATCTCAGTTTCTTATCCTTAAAATCAGAGGATCCCCTCGTAGAGTTTTTCGAGGAGTAACAACTTAGTTTGTGTTAGGAGCTCAGAGCATATAGTCAATTACGACGATTCATTCATTCTACACATGAACAGATGGGAGTGCGGGGGCCATTGGTGAAGGTCACCCAGGCTGCAGAAGTGGAATCAAGAGAACGGCTCTCGGGGTCCTGGTGCCCCTTGTGAGAAGCGTCAGCTCTATGCGTGTCAGGTGCTCATCTGTGAAGTCTTCGGTTGGGGTAGGGTGGAAATGGGAGGGACCTCACAGGGGTTGGATGAGGTCATATCCGTGGAGCAGGTGTGCGAATCATAAAATCAGGCTGACGCTTGCAAGACCGGTTAACATGGCACGTGATTCAAATGTGGCCGCTGGAGCCAGGTGGCCTGGGTTTGAGTTCTGCCTCTGTCCCATAATACTGTGCACCCTCAGGCAAATCACTTAGCCTCTCTGTGCCTCAGCTGCCTCACTATCAAGTGGGGGTAATAATTGTTCCTCCCTCTTCTGTAGGAGCGTTTTGTGGTGTTCATGCTTGAAATCTGTGCCTGGCACTGAGTACTGGGCCATTATCAGTCTGTCCTATGGCCCTTGGGAACTGAACGCTGGGGAACAGTGGTTATGTGGGGTGTTTCTCAGATGACACAGTTGGGCAGCAGCAGATTCGGGACTGGAAGAAACCACTGTGGGTTTTTTTTTTTTTTTTTTTTCTAATTTTTATTTTTAGACAGAGTCTCCCTCTTTTTGCCCAGGCTGGAGTGCAGTGGCACAATCTCGGCTCACTGCAACCTCCGCCTCCCGGGTTCAAGTGATTCTCCTGCCTCAGCCTCCTGAGTGCTGGGATTACAGGCACCCACCACCACACCCAGCTAATTTTTGTATTTTTAGTAGCAATGGGGTTTCACAGTGTTGGCCAGGTTGGTCTTGAACTCCTGACCTCAAGTGATCCACGCGCCTTGGCCTCCCAAAATGTTAGGATTACAGGTATGAGCCACCACGCCTGGCCAGACGCCACTGTTTTGATCTCCCAGATGTGGTATCTTTTTCTGAATCCCTGTGACCCCTTTATCAAGACCTCTGTTTTACAGATGGGGGAGCTGAGGCCCCGGGAGAGGAAATGGATGTGTGAGACCCTGGAATGAGAGTGTGACGTCAAGCAAAGAGAATGCCACACACAGCTGAGTTCTTCTCTGAGACTTTGTTTCCTGGGCTGTGCTGGGGGAAGCTGGAGGGGAGGAGGCAGAAAAACCTGCATCTTCTCTTCTTTTGTCCTGCCAATAGGTGGCACCAACTGTGCGTTTGTTCATAGGAGTTTTCGTCTGGGTCTGAGGGAGGAGGGGCTGGGGGCCTGGACTCCTGGGTCTGTGGGAGGAGGGACTGGGGGATCTTAGGGAGGTGGGGCTGGGGCCCGGACTCCTGGGTTCCGCACTCTGGGGCTGGGAGAGAAAGGCCTGCCCTGCCTGCTTCTTCCTCTGTGTGCTCCACCCCCACCCACAGACCTCTTCTCCGGATTCCTGAGCCCCCAGCCCACTTTCCAGCTCCGTCCTCCTCCCTTTCTGGAAGCTTCCCTTCTGCATTTGTTCATAGGAGGTTTGCTCCTGGATCTGAGGGAGGAGGGGGTGGGGTCCTGAACCCCTGGGTCTAAAGGAGGAGGGGCTGGGGAGTCTGAGGGAGGAGGGGGCTGGGGGCCCAGACTCCTGGGTCTGAGGGAGGAGAGGCTGGTGCCGGGACTCCTGGGTCTGAGAGAGGAGAGTCTGGGAGCTGGGATTCCTGGTCTGAGGGAGGAGGGGCTGGGGTCCTGAACTCCTGGGTCTGAAGGAGGAGGGGCTGGGGGGTCTGAGGGAGGAGAGAGCTGGAGAGATGTGTCTCTTCTCCCTGCTGTGACTGCTGCTCATTTTCCCCATGTCTGTGTTTCTGCTCCCCTCTCCCCGTGATCCTGTCAGCTTCTTTTAGTTTTTATTTTTTAGAGTTGGGGTCTTGCTGTGTTGCCCAGGCTGGAGTGTCATGGTGCAATCACAGCTCACTGCTACATCAAACTCCTGGGCTTAAGCAATCCTCTGGTATCAGCCTCCCGAGTAGTTGGGACTACAGGTGTGTGCCACCATGCCTGGCTAATTTTTTTTTTTTTTTTTTTTTTTAGAGATGGGGTCTTGATATGTTGCCCAGGCTGAGATTGTTTGTAAAATGTCATCATGGAACACCCCACCTCCCAGTGTGGGAATGCTGGCTGTGGTATTGCCAAGAATGATGTTTACTGCAGCACTATTCCCTATAGCTAAGATCTGGAAACAACCTAAGTGTCCATCAACAGATGAATGGATACAGAAAATGTGGTGCATATACACAACGGAGCACCATTCAGCCATCAACAAGAATGACAGCCTGTCATCTGCAAAATGGATGGAACTGGAGGTTATGATGTTAAGTGCAGTAAGTCAGGCACAGAAGATAAACTTCACAGGTTCTCATTTATTTGTGGGAGCTAAAAATTAGAACAATTGAGTTGCCAGGTACAGTGGCTCACGCTGGTAATCCCAGCACTTTGGGAGGCTGAGGCGAGTGGATCACCTGAGGTCGGGAGTTCAAGACCAGCCTGGCCAACATGGCAAAACCCCGTCTCCACTAAAAATACAAAAATTAGCCAGTCGCAGTGATGCGGGCCTGTAATCCCAGCTACTTGGAAGGCTGAGGCACAGAACTGCTTGAACCTGGGAGGAGGAGGTTGTGGTGAGCCAAGACCTCGCCAGTACATTCCAGCGACCTGGGAGACAGAGCGAGACTCCATCTCAAAAACAAAAAACAAAAAACAAAAACAAAACCAACTGAGTTAATGGAGATAGAGCATAGAAGGATGATTATCAGAGGCTGGGAAGGGTGGGGGTGTGTGGGTAGTGGGGAAGTGCGAACAAGGAAATAGAGTAAGATCTAGTATTTGATAGCACAACAGGGTGACTATGGTCAATAATAATTTAGTTGTGCATTTAAAAATAACAAAAAGAATGTAATTAGATTGTTTGTAACATAAAGGGTGAATGAGGTAATGGATACCCCATTTATCCTGATGTGATTATTCCACATTACATGCCTGTATTAAAATATCTTACGTACCCCATAAATATATCCACCTACTATGTACCCACAAAAATTACAAATTAACAAAAAAGAATAATGTGGCTCTTACCGGGTTTCAGCTCCACCCTTGTTGTGTGTGTGGTACGTTGTGTCCCCAGCTCCTTCTCAGTGGTCCCTGGAGAGCATTACCATGTGTCACTGTCCACTCTCCCAGGGTGGACCCCACTCTTCCTCCATCTCTGCATCCCACAAATAACATGCCCCCTCTTATGTGTGTCTTTGCAGAACCGGAATGAGATGATATTACCGGAAAATGCCAGTGTGCCCCTGGGTGGGTGGAGGAGGGTGGAGGAGGGTGGGGCGGGTGGAGGGGACGAGTTTGCCCCATTGGGGAACCACTGGTCTATCCCTGTCACTGAAGCTTCCTTTCTCCCCTGCACCTGACTCCACACCTCAGGACGCAGGTCAGGAGGACTGGTGGGGGCTCTAGCCTTGGCCAGATGGGTCTCAAGATGATTGTTTACTGCAGGAGCATTCACCTTTTTAGATGGGTGCTTCCTATCTAGAGAAGGAGACGTGAAAAGAGGCTGGAAAGAGAAGCCTGGAGGAATAGGACAAAAACAAAGGAGGGCGGAGTCAGGGAGTGTAGAAGAGATAAAGTAAGGACTGGAGTGAGGAAGAGGCATCTAAGAGGGAGGGAATGGTGAAGGCAGAAAATGGTGAGAAACGGGGAGTGAGAAGATAGCATGAGACAGACAGGGTCAGGCCAGGCGTGGTGGCTCATGCTGGCAATCCCAGCACTTTGGGAGGCTGAGGCGAGCAGATCACTTGAGCTCAGGAGTTCAAGACCAGCCTGGCCAACATGGTGAAACCCCATCTCTACTAAAAATACAAAAATTAGCCATGCATGGTGGCACGCACCTGTAATCCCAGCTAGTTGGGAGACTGAGGCAAAAGAATCACTTGAAACTGGGAGATGTAAGTTGGAGAGAGCTGATTCTGGCACCACTGCACTCTGACCTGGATGACAGAGTGAGACTCAGAAAAAAAAAAAAAGAGAGAGAGAGAGAAAGAAAGGGAGGAAGGAAGGAAGGAAGGAAGGAAGGAAGGAAGGAAGGAAGGAAGGAAGGAAGGAAGGAAGGGAGAAAGAAAGAGAAAGAAAGAAAAAGAAAGAAAGAAAGAGAAAGAGAGAGAGAAAGAGAAAGAGAGAGAGAAAGAGAGAGTAAGAAACAGACATGGGAAAGAGGAAGGGAGAGAGAACAGAACGAGGAAGTGAGTAAGAAATAGACAAACTAGGCTGGGTGCGGTGGCACACGCCTGTGGTCCCAGATACTCTAAAGGCTGAGGTGGGAGAATTGCTTGAGCCCAGGAGTTCGAGACCAGCCTGAGCAGCATAGTGAGACTCTGTCTCTACAAACAAACAAACAAAAATTAGCTGGGCATGGTGGCACGTGCCTGTAGCCCCAGCTACTGAGGAAGCTGAGGCAGGAGGATTGCTTGAACCCAAGAGTTCAAGGTTACAGTGAGCTATTATTGTGCCACTGTATCCAGCCTGGGCAATGGAGTGAGACTGTCTCTAAAATGAATGAAAAAAAAGCAAACGGGTTGGGCGTGGTGGCTCATGCCTGTAATCCCAGCACTTTGGGAGGCTGAGGCAGGTGGATCACTTGAGGTCAGGAGTGAGACCAGCCTGGCCAACATGGTCTCTACCAAAAATACAAAATTTAGCCAGGTGTGGTGGTGTGTGCCTATAATCCCAGCTACTCAAGAGGCTGAGGCAGGAGAATGGCTTAACTCGCGGTGGGGTGGAGGTTACAGTGAGCCAAGATCACACCACTGTACTCCAGCCTGGGTGACAGAGTGAGACTCTGTCTCCAAAAAAAAAAAAAAAACAAAACAACAAAAAAACAAACTGGGGCTGGGTTTTGTATCCCAGACCAAATGCCTGCACTTTGAATGCCTGGTTGGGAAGCCTGAGATTATCCTGTGGGGAAGCATCAAGAGTGTGAACTGAATGGTGTTAGGATACAATTATCCATGGCTCTCTTACCTTTCTGCCTGTCTCCTGAGAAACGTATTAGCCACTTTTTAGTTCCGGACTGTCTTTTTATGGGTGTTTCTCCAGAGCATCAGAACATGTTTGTTTACTGTCTTAGACAATAAAGATAATGTCCTTCCATAATGATTTATTTATTGGCTAGGATAGTAAATACAGTATGTCCTTCCAGGGCAGGTGGATCAGCAGTCCAAGATAACAAAGATAATAGCTCCCTGAGGTCCAAAGTCAGGCAGATTTCCTTGCCTCTCCCTTATAAGCTTGAAAATCTGTAAACACATGTAAACAGAGGTTCCCCAGCATTGACACAAACCATGTGAGCACAGCATATGCCTGAGCCACTCCGATCATCCCTGTAGGACCTAGGGGGCAAGGTGAGCCCATTTGAACATGAACCTCAAGCTACCTGCTGTGCCATGAGTAATAAAGTCCTTTGTCTCTGACCTGGAGTCTTTGTGTGCTCTACCAATAGTTTCACTGGATACAAAATTCTTGGCTGATAACTGTTTCGTATAAGGAGGCTAAAGGCAGGACCCCAGTCCTTTCTAGGTTGTAGGGTTTTTGCTGAGAAATCTACTGTCAATCTAATAGGTTTTCTTTATAGGTTACCTGATGCTCCTTCATCTTGACTTTGGATAACCTGATGACTATGCGCCCAGGTGGTCATCTTTTTGTTTTGTTTTGAGATGGAGTCTCACTCTGTTGCCCAGGCTGGAGTGCAGTGGCACGATCTTGGCTCACTGCAACCTTTGCCTTCCGGGTTCAAGCGACTTTTCCGCCTCGGCCTCCTGAATAGCTGGGATTACAGGCACGCGCTGCCACACCCGGCTAATTTTTTGTATTTTTAGTAGAGACGGGGTTTCACTGTGTTAGCCAGGATGGCCTCGATCTCCTGACCTTGTGATCCCCCTGCCTCAGCCTCCCAAAGTGCTGGGATTACAGGCGTGAGCCACCACGCCCGACCAGTGGTCATCTTTTTGTAATGAATTTCACAGGTGTTCTTTGAGCTTCTCGTATTTGGATATCTAGATCTCTAGCAAGGCCAAATAAGTTTTTCCTCGATTATTCCCCTCAAATATGTTTTCCGAATTTTTAGATTTCTGTTCTTCCTTGGGAACATGAATTATTCTTAGGTTGGTCGTTTAACATAATCCCAAACTTCTTGGAGGTCTTGTTCATTTTTTTAAAATTCTTTTTTCTTTGTCTTTGTTGGATTGGGTTTATCCAAAAGTCTTGT